CTTCCCCCGCTTTCTCATGGCCTCGCCATATCTTGGAGATTTCGAAATTTCGGCCCGAACGGAAGCCACAAAGGGTACACGTGTGTACACAAAAGGAAGATTAATCATTGAATGTCGAGTATTTGAATAGCGTTTTGTATAAACTAATTCATGCGTGATCGGCCAAGTGCGTGTGTGTGTGTGTGTGTGTGTGTGTATATATATATATATATGTGTGTTTGTATAATATTCATAGTCAAGATGTGCTGTCAGTTTTATCTGTCCAGCAGAGGGAGCTATTGCACGGCGTGTCATACTCATCCCGTTTCGCCTTGGCGCTTTTCTTCCCTCCCGGGACCGATTTGGGTGTGCCCTGGGGTGTCCGATACTACAACAACGTATATATATATATATGTGTGTTTGTATAATATTCATAGTCAAGATGTGCTGTCAGTTTTATCTGTCCAGCAGAGGGAGCTATTGCACGGCGTGTCATACTCATCCCGTTTCGCCTTGGCGCTTTTCTTCCCTCCCGGGACCGATTTGGGTGTGCCCTGGGGTGTCCGATACTACAACAACGACGGCGACAACTCCAAAATTATATGCTATGCAACCGTGGAGCCTCGCAAACGCTGCACAGGTGACGCACTCACGCCTCGATTGACGGGGGAATTGATGATAACCCGTGACTTGTACGCCTTGTCCAGATGGGGGCGCGGGCCTAGGGCCATCCTTAGTTGTCCACACTGGCGTTCCCTTCGGTCTGCAGAACCTGGAGCGTAATGCCGAGGAAGTGCAGCCAATTATCTTGGGGGAGCTGAACCGTCTCCTCCCTGCACTGCCACAGCCAATCAGCATCAAGTGCCACAAGTGGAGGTACTCGCAGGTGAGCCCATCACGTGAAAAGCTTTCCAAAGGGTGATGCCACGCATTTCACAACAAGAGCCTGATGTGTGTCGGTTAGGTGGCAAGCGCGGTGGCGGGCTGTCCGGGTCACATGACGTTGTCGGAGCATCCCCTGCTGGTTTGCGCCGGCGACGCCTTCACCCACTCCAACTTCGACGGCTGTCTGACATCTGCGCTGAGCACACTTGAGGCATTCAAAGGCGTCATGTGACAGGAAGTCGCTCCGTGTGGAGCTTGACTGGTTGCTTAGCAACCACGGAGGGTGTATGTGTGTGTGTGTGTGTGTCTCGGAAAGTGTCACAAACATGAAGGCGTCACTTCCTGTCTAGTTTTAATCTTATTCCATTGAAAGCAAAACTCAATTTCATAAATATTTTCTTTATTCACTGGACAGTGTTTGATGCCTTTGGAAAACAAAGACACAAACAGAAAACGAAGACGTTCCATTCGAACACGTTTTCCGGACTGAAGCTGGGATCTTTTTTTCCACTCCCCCGACTTGGAAGTTGCGTCTCGACTTTTGGAGCCCCGAATGGGCACCGCTTCTGGCAACTCCACTCCAAGTGTCCAAACAAATGCGCTGAAGGTCTCTGTGGCAAAGCCAGGAAGTGGAAGGAATGATTTGTTGACAGTCACCGAGAAGGCTTTTCTCTCCGTGACCTTATACGGCACGATAACTGGACCGCCGCCCAACAATGCCGCCGTTGACCGGGGCGAGGGGTGGCGTCCGGAGGTTGCGGCGGTCCTGGAGCTTCAGCGGCCGATGGCCCGACGGGCGGCTCACACCTTGGTGATCTGGTCACGGTCGTCGTCAGAGGGCTCATTCTCAGGGTCCGAGTCGGTGGTGTCCGAGTAGCGGTAGTGATCAGGTTCGTTGTCGCTGACGTCCGGCGTCACCGACGCGCTGTTTGCCTCGCGGTCGCTGCCGCCGCCTTCGTCCGCCGTCTTGGTGAAGAACAGTTTCACCTAACGGACCGGTTGCACACTTATTAGGCTGCCGAGGGATGAGACGATGATTGGCAACCTGCTCTCATTCCCCGACTCCCCAGTGACTGACTACATTGGCGTTTTCAGTGTAGGAAATATCTCTGGCCAGCATGTGAATGTCCCAGTGTAGCGATTAGAAAAAAGGGAATGATTCAAACCAACCTTAAAGTTGGGCGAGAAGTTTCTGTTGGCTATGTCCTTGTTGGCCTTGTCCAGGTCGTTCTTCATTAAAGTCAGAACCAGGAAGTCGTCGTCATCGTTGCCGCCGCATTCCTGGTTCTGCTGAGTCCTGTCCGATCCGGCGTCCCGCAAGGTTCCGCTTTGGCCATTCTCCAGCCTTTGCGGGTCCTCATCAGGCCAGGGAATGAAAAAGGTGTTGACCCAAAAGTGGAACATCTTGTCCTGAGAGCCAAGAGGAGGAAGGACATCAGCACGAAGATTCAAAGAGAGCCGTTCGGACCGTCTCCCTCTCACATAAATGAAAACACCGGATGCAGCAAAACCCTTTAGACATGAAAAATTAACTCTCACATGATCGTCATGTCCAAATTTCTGATGACAGTGCATTTGGGGGGAAAAAAAAATGACGCAAGCGCAACGGCACCGCAGAGGGCCGAATAAGGCGCCCGGGGTTGTGCCCCCCCCCCCTCACCTTCATCATCTTGTTCTGCTTATGGAAGAACTCCACCTTGATGTCGCCGCACACGGGAAGCGGCTGCGGGAACTCGAAGAGCATCAGCTTGTCTTCGCGGCGCGTGAACGCCGGGTTGGACGTGTGGATCTTCACCTTCAGCTGGTAGATGACAAACAGGGGATCTGCACGCAGGACCGGACATGACGACAACGTGAGCGAGGGCGAAGAACAAGGTGAGGGGGTGTATGTGTGTGTGTGTACTGACTGCAGGTCCCCCCCGTGAACATGGGAATGGTTTCAAAGAGCATCTTGTGGAAGAGCAAAGCCACAGGCGAGTAGTGGAGTCTGCTCCTCAGTAGCGTGTTGTAGTAGCACACGTAACGACGCTGGCTGGGGATGGTCACGCCCTAAACAACACGCACGCCTTTGTTCAGACAAACGTTTGAAAAACAGAACACAGCTGGCCAAAAGTTGCTTTGGGGTGCAATGTCAGGAATGAGGAGGAAGCTCAAATGCACTCGAAACTTTACGGGGTCAAATCGAAGGTCCCCCTGCCACAGTTTTTGGTGCGTGTTTGTCGCTCACCTTCTTGTCCCGCGTGCGAACTTCGCCGTAAAAGTCGAGGGCCTCACGAGCCTCGCGGAACTTCCCGCGGTGCAGCAGGTAGGCACAGATCATGACGCCCGTGCGGCCTTTCCCGGCCTTGCAGTGGATGGCGGCCACGTGCTGCTCATCACGGCTCAGCCACGCGTCCAGGTCCTCGCAGAAGGGCTTGATCAGCTCCAGCTGCGGCGGGTTGTGGTCCTCGAACGGGTACTCGGCCACTGGGGAGCGAGACACACGTGGCGCGCTAATGCTAGGCTTCACCATGCGCATCGCAAATTTTGTGCAGCCGCTTGTGGGGGACACGGAAGTGAAAATCAAATCCACTCCCACGGGGGAAAAAAAAAATCCGATCTTAGTCCCCGTCCGCTGTAAAATAAATCAATAAAATACCGTCCCGGTGAAAACAACGCCCATCCCATCCTGAATAAAGATGATAAAAAGTTCAAGTAAAAAAAAGAAAAAGGCAGAGCCCGAGGAGCATCATCTTACCTTGACAGTTGAACTTGGACGTGTCGTAATGTCGCTCCGCACACCTGGCAACGCACACACACCCAATAAACTTTTGTCATTCTGTGTGTGCGTTTGTGTTTGTGCGCGTGTGTTGCACTTACAAGTTGTAGATCTTGTAGTGACTCTTGTGCTTTGCGTCTAAAAACCTGCATCATGCAAAGGAGCGGCGTAAGTGCGACACTCAACACGAAGTTGAGAGGAAAAAAAAAAAAGTCTCACCGCACGACGTCGTCAATGTTGTTCCTGTAGACGCCTTCCAGACGCTCGGCGGGGAAGCCCATGGCGATGATGTTGGGGTAGATGTCTGACAGACTGGCTAAGGATAAACCAGGCCTTGTTTCTGCCTCCCGTCCACCAGAGGGCAGCTCGCAGTCTCGCCTCTTTTGCTATCCCTCCATCCCATCATCTCCGCTTTCATAGTGACCACCTACTGCTGCGCCTCAGGCATCCAAAGTAGACCAACAAGACTAGTTTGCTATCTGCATCCTTTCCAGTGGACATAAGATGAAAATATTGCAGTTATCAGTCATGGATATGATATCTTCTTACGCATGCACACTAAAGATTGCGCAGGCATCACCTACGTGATTTGTCCTCGTGCTCCAATTTGTTTTCACAGATGGCTGACCTGTTGTGCATGTGCATCGCACATTGTGCCTTCGCACCTCCCAACCGGGAAATCTAATCAAGCAGATTCTCAGAGGAGCAAGTCGCAAGTAGGTAGAAATGTTTTGGAGAAAGGCGCCGTCTTTGCTCAATGACATTTCATGGGGACGTCTCCTCGAGATGCCATCTCATCATTGACACACATCACACAGACAGCCGTCTGAATTATTACTGTTGTCACGAAAGTCCACTTGATGCTTCAAGTTTCAAGTGCGATTCATCCATCCATCCATTTTCTGAGCCGCTTTATCCTCAATAGGGTCACGGGCGTCTTATGATCTTATTTGGTGAGGCCAAAAACTATGATCCACCCCAGTGGCCAGTCAAGAACCATTTCATTCGATTTTTATCTTCATGTATTGATATGAGTGCCAATAACGTTAGCTTCGCACATAATCGAGCCGCTTCCTCCACAACGAGTCACAAAGTGCCACTGCTAGCATTAGCCAGATAGCAAATTCCCCAGAAGCAGAAGCTGCGGGTACCGGGAAAGGATACAAGTGAGGTCCAGGTCGAAGCCGTCCTCCTGGAACCGTCTTTTTTTTCTGCTGACGATCTCTTTGATGAGCGCTGCCATGGCGACGGAGGATGACGGTGAGGATGAGGGGGAGGACGGTCACGGCCGGACGTCCGCGGGCCACCACAAGCCCGACGTTCGCCGTGCAAACGTTGCAAAGACGGAGAGAGAAGCACACGCCGTCGGTCCCCGGGGGCTTTCGGCAGGAGACGTCTGCAGAAGACGCGATTTAGCCGGCCAGCTAGCTGCCCGACGGCCCGGCTGTCGCGGCCCGTTTCTGGCTCACAACCGCCGGGAGGCGTCCGGGCCTCCAGCCTGCTCGTACTTAGAGCCTGGACCTCCAGGTCCTCCACCGGCCCCCTCCTTTGTCAGGTCCCGTACATCCGAGGTTGGAAGGAGCGAGTGTTTGCAGCCTCGCTCGCCGTGATTTGAGGCGAGCACCCCGACAAGACGACAACAAGACCGCGATCCAAACACTGGCCTGGACCAGCAAGTCAGCGAGCAAAAGCTCACAAGTCGAGGTGACGGTGGCAATGCGACGACATTTCCTTTCTGGATTTTCGCAATAAATTTTGAAGCGCTCTTTTTCAACTTCAAACTTTCTTGTTTTGTCGGTAGAGGAAAAGCGTAATTACCTGTTACTACGCGTATCAGTGTGCATTGACGAAGCTGGCTGTAAAAGCGTGAAGGTTCGCACGGTTGCCAAGTTAAGTTGCATTTGTCCCTCGTCCAAAATGTCAGCAGAAATAATTACTTATTCAACTAATTTGACATCTAACCTCGTTTGCATATAAGATGACCCATATGTACAGCCGAAAACCAAAGGTGAGACACGTGAGAACAAATTTGACTCTCCACTGGCCCAGAAGCAGGAGCCAATGTGGCACCATGCAGCGGAAACAACGCAAGCCTGGCTGCCCAGTGAGCCACAGAGTTTGCGTAACAAAACACCTTTTCAAACATTATTTTCTCTTATTTAGTCCCTTTATAATTTCACAGAAAATGAATTGCATTTATAAAACCGCTTTGCAATGAAAAAAAAAACAATCTCAAGGTGTAAAAGTAGACAATGGGGTAGCTACAGTATCAATACAGATGGAAATATAACTTGAAGGATCCAAAGGCTACTATTTGAAATCTTCAGAGGTGCCAAATACAGGTCCAGAAAGTAAAATCTGCCAGAGTTTGGCTATAGCCACAGCTAGGTGCCAAGTTCCACACATCAATTTCTCAGGAGAAGAAACGACCCTTTTCGTCCCAAACAGGCAAGATATTATGGACTGTTCTTTCAAATCAAGTAAGTTGCGGTCTTCGACACTGGTTGGGAGCTATGACGACTCACTTGTATTGTTTGTTGCAGATAAACATGTTCACAAACACGCATACACGCAGGCGATTTGGTCAAACAAAGGTAGACGTCATTGTGCAGTAGACATGCGCGGCCTGTAGATGGCTGCATGAGACCTTGTGCTGTTGAAAACGAAGAAGAAGTCGTAGAAGAAGAAGTAGAAGCGGCAGGACAACGGCTGCGCTACAATCGAGGTGTCATCAACACGCTGTACGTTTCTTTTTGACACACAAGTGAACACGAATACATTTTAGTTATGTTTCGGCTTGTTGTTGTTTCATTCAGCACGTCCTCTGTGACTGCATGGAGAGCCGCCTTGTGGTAGCGGTAGAGCCCGGAAGGTCAACCTCATGCTAAACGCTAACTCGAACAGCGCGGACTACTTTCGCTTTTGACACCGGAAAATCACCTCGGAAAGATGGAGAAATATAAAGAAATTGGGATGCGTTTTTGAACAGGCAGCTACATCGGAACATAAAGACAGATGAATAGAAATTGGATAGCTAGGTGAACAGATGTGACATGATGACTCAGTTATTAAAATAATTGGTGTCGTCTTGTGCGTGTATGCTAGCCATTGGAGCCATGTTGAAATGTCATTTTGACCTTGAGTTGATTGTGTTTATCAGGTAGTTTGCAGCGTGAGCCTCTGGAGGTGAGCGGTGGGCTTGGTCACATCAGGATGGTTCTGAGGGAGCTTCCAGTGGAGCACGCGGCGCGGCCCCTGGGCAGGAACGAGGTGCTGGGGCTCCTCTTCCGCCTGACCATCTTTGGCGCTGTCACCTACTTCACCATCAAGTGGATGGTCGATGCCATTGACCCCACGCGCAAGCAGAAGGTGGAAGCGCAGAAACAGGTCAGTTGATCCGTGCGAGCAGCGGCTTTAGCAGGGATCTGGCAATGACTCAGCGTTTCAATCGCTTCCATGACAATGTGCCACAACAATACTTTTCCTTGTCCATGCGTCTGTCAGGCAGAGAAGCTGATGCGGCAGATCGGCGTCAAAGACGTCAAGCTGTCCGAGTACGAGATGAGCATCGCCGCCCACCTGGTGGACCCCCTCACCATGCAGGTAACTATGCACGCTCAAACTAAAACACACAAACATTTAAGAGGGCACCCTGTCATGTCGTGTCACGTTATTCTCGTGTTGGCTTTGTTTGACAGATGTCCTGGCGTGACATCGGCGGTCTTGACGAGGTCATCGCCGAGATCCAGGAGACCGTCATCATGCCCGTTCAAAAGCGACATCTCTTCCAAAGCTCCAGATTGCTGCAGCCCCCCAAAGGTTGGAGTTACTCTTCCTCTCCATCAGCATCATCATCATCATCATCATCCTCCTCCTCCTCATCATGACTCGGTTGTCACGGTAACAGGTGTGCTGCTGTACGGGCCGCCGGGTTGCGGGAAGACGCTGATCGCCAAAGCGACGGCCAAGCAGGCGGGCTTTCGCTTCATCAACCTGCAGCCCAGCACGCTGACGGACAAGTGGTACGGCGAATCGCAGAAGCTCGCCGCCGCCGTTTTCTCCTTGGCCGTCAAACTGCAGCCCGCTCTCATCTTCATCGACGAGATAGGTGACAAACGCGTCTTCGCCCAGCACATAGCCAACAAATGCTTTCATGGACATGGGTGGCAATGTTATCATGCATTGTGTGGCCAATTGTTTGTACGCACGCAGACTCATTCCTGAGGAATCGCTCGAGCTCAGACCACGAGGCCACGGCCATGATGAAGGCGCAGTTCATGAGTCTGTGGGACGGCCTGGACACGGACCACCGCTGTCAGGTGAGCCGGCAGCAGCCCGCCGTTGGCTGACTCCCTAAGCACGCCCTTTGCTCTTCTCAGGTGATCATCATGGGCGCCACCAACCGACCGCAAGATCTGGACTCGGCTATCTTGAGGAGGATGCCAACCAGATTCCACATCAACCAGCCGGTATGTACGCACACCCTGTTGTGATCGTACCCGCGCCGGGACTTGAGTGAGACGGTCAGGCTTACCGAGCCCAAAGGTCAGCTGATGGCGCTGATGCGCCAGTGGCCTGCTTTGCCAACAAAGGAGGACAATGCATGAGGTGCAGTCACAGTTTTGGCCTTGTCTCTGCTCTTTTCTGCGTTGTAGAGTTTGCATCAGCGAGAGCAAATCCTCAAACTCATCCTGGAAAACGAGAGCGTGAGTTCTCGTCACTCGCACGCTGGCCACTCGTCTGAGTGTTGCTTGGCGTGCCTTCTACCTATTTTCCTTCCTTCCCTTGTCCCGCAGGTGGACGAGTCGGTGGAGCTTTTGGAGATCGCCAAGCAAACGGAAGGATTTTCCGGCAGCGACCTTCGGGAGATGTGCCGCGATGGCGCCCTGCTGTGCGTTCGAGACTTTGTGCACACTGGCGGCGACGGGTCAGTCACGCCTCCTTCCACAATGTTGCCCCTGACGGTGCCCCGATGTTTCTCTCGACATGTTGCGTGCGTCCTTACCATCTCGCCGTTTGTGACTTTCAGCCCATCAGAGGATTGCATCCGTCCGATTCACGCCTCCGATCTTCAGAGGGCCATCGCCAAGATGAAGAAATCCAAGATGGCGGGTGGTCACGGCGCCCTCCTGCACGCTGCTCTGGACTGAATGGGTCCTCCCAAACACACAAGCCCGCTGCGTCACCGCTCGCATTTCCACCCAGTCAATTGTTCACGTGCCAACATTTTTGAACGCCAAGCACGTTCATGATGAGTTCAACAAACGACCTTCAAGTCTTTTCTCTTCTTCATGGAACTTTTACTTTGAAAAGTCCTTTTTCAACAATGCCTAAACTGTCAAACAGTGAATTGATCTTTCCTATTTATGGCATTGCTGTGATTGGTGTCCTTTCTGATGGGAAGTTTGTCAACTAACTTAAGATATTCCTGTTATTTAACTCTTCGGTTGAAAGGAGCAACCCGCTCCCTGCTTTGTTTGAAATGCTTGACTTGTACATTTTAAAACAAGCAGAAATATGATTATTAGTAAAAGCAACATTGCGCCAACTGTCAGTCAAATATGTGAAGATTCCAGAGTAACAAATGTTTGCATCTACTGAGGCCGTACCCCAATGCCCAAGAACGGCAAGGGTGTGGTGTCGGACACATGGGGTCGCTCCACACTACCCAAATGAGGCGGCCAATTGCACAGACCAGGAACCAGAATTGGAACCAAAATTATGTTTTCTACATGAATGTGTTCACGGACTTAACTGATGAGGACTTGTGGACAAAATGGTTTTGGAGCAGAAGAAACCCCTTTCACAAAATCTTTCCCCAATAAATTCTGTCAATCTTGAGTCATTCTTGGCATCGCCATCATGTTTGCCTGGATAAAATAAAATAAATTAATTGCGTGTTGTACTGAGGAATATTCTTGGTACTGCTTGATCAAAAAATGACTGCTAGATAAGCTGTTTATCATTCATTGACAGGAAACCGGATTTTTCTGCCTTGCTGGTTCGAAACACTCCAGTCCAATAGGTGGCGGTAATCCACCAAAACGCTGGTTTACCAACCGTGAAATGACGTAAAAGAAAAATAACGTCGCGTAATGATGACGTCACCGCCATATCGTATACATGGATTGGTGGATTCGTTTGCTTACACTTTTAAAAGTCGAGCGCGGACGGAGGAAAAGCAAGCGAGCTCTGTGATCTTCGTGGGCTCGACTTGCCCAAAAAAAAATCCGCTGTGAGTTGAGCTTTCTTGGAAAACATCCACATGTCACACATGTGAAACCCCTTTCACAAAATCTTTCCCCAATAAATTCTGTCAATCTTGAGTCATTCTTGGCATCGCCATCATGTTTGCCTGGATAAAATAAAATAAATTAATTGCGCGTAGTACTGAGGAATATTCTAGGTACTGCTTGATCAAAAAATGACAGCTAGATAAGCTGTTTATCGTTCATTGAAAGGAAACCGGATTTTTCTGCCTTGCTGGTTCGCAACACTCCAGTCCAATAGGTGGCGGTAATCCACCAAAACGCTGGTTTACCAACCGTCAAATGACGTAAAAGAAAAATAACGTCGCGTATTGGTGACGTCACCACCATATCGTATACATGGATTGGTGGATTCGTTTGCTTACACTTTTAAAAGTCGAGCGCGGACGGAGGAAAAGCAAGCGAGCTCTGTGATCTTCGTGGGCTCGACTTGCCCAAAAAAAAATCCGCTGTGAGTTGAGCTTTCTTGGAAAACATCCACATGTCACACATGTATTAGACAGTACAGACAAACATTTACGTCAAACCGGTTAGATGTACATAGAGGCCCTGCGCGATTGTTAGCTGGCTAGCTCTGGCGAATGCTAACAACAACAGCGCTTTTACAGTTGTACG